ATGAGAACAAGAAAGAAAGAATTTGTTCGAATAAATATAATGATATTTTCTTTCTTTCTCTTTATACTGGCCATGTGATGAGGTGGTGGTGGTGGCGGCGGTGGTGGTGGGGGTCCTGGTTGTGGCATAATGACATGAGTTAATACACCATTTTCGTCTAGAACTTGTTGAACTATATGTCCAGGTGGTAAATGTAAAGGCAATGGAAAGGCTGGTCCATTTTCTGAGATCATTCTCACCGTTGCAGGACCTGAAGTAATAAAGTTAAATATATATTAAAACATGCCTATTTTATTGTTTTCTTTAACTGTCTTATGAATAAGGTAAATTTTACGAACATACAAATCAATCAATATAGTGTAATGCATCGAAACATAAAGAACGAAATAAATTGTCAAACGCTTTTTTTCTTCTTCTTCTTCTTCTCTCTTTTTTTTCTTATTCAAGGAGAAGGAGCCTAGCAAAAGGTCATAGACATTAGAGGGTAAAAGATAGGTAGTGAGAGAGAGAGAGAGAGAGAGAGAGAGAAACAGCAGCTACTTGTCAGGACTGGTAGGATAGTGGGCGAATGTCTGAATCAGTGAATAGTTCCATGACGTCAGTCTAACAATAATAAAATAAACGATTATCTTTATCCAGGCACTATTACTCCGGAAGAGATCGATTAGTAATACAACGATGAATAAAGCATTCTTTTTCTTTGCTTTTTCTTTAGAAAGAAAATTGCTGTTTCTACTTCCACTACTCTTGTGGTCAAATCATTGACATCGACCACGCGCAATTCACATTAATCATAATCATGGCTTGTTACTTCGTTTGCTTTGCTCTTCAACAGTTATACGAGTACAATATTGTGATGCTGATGAATCGCATGACATATATATATATATATATAAATGAGAACAAGAAAGAAAGAATTTGTTCGAATAAATATAATGATATTTTCTTTCTTTCTCTTTATACTGGCCATGAAATAAATTAATATCCAAAAATAAAGTATATAAATGAAAAGGAAGTCATTTAGTATGTTGAAAAACGTACTCTGCTGTTGCTGTCCTGATGATTGGACAACAAACCATGAATGTAATTGATCATGATTAGAAGTTGTTGATGATGATGACGATGATGATGATGATGATGATGAATTTATTTCATTACTAACATTCGAATTACTATTAATATTATGATTAAAATGAAAACGATGATGATCAAAAATACACTGTTGTTGTTGTTGTTGAAAATATGGATGAGATATATTTGGTGGTGATGATGTTATAGTAAGAAATAAACGTTGATATTTTAATGAATCTGGTGAAGACGTATTTGATGAACAAGATGATGTCGGTGGATAAAATCCATTCGTTGAAAAACATCTCGTTTCATACATGATTAAATCAATAATATTTTATCGCAATAAATAAAAATGAAAAGTCAACGTTTCAATATCAATGATGATAATTGTTGACAAGTAAACGGTGACTATCTTTTGACAAGATGATGTTCTTTGCATACATGTATCTCGGCCATAGGTCGCAATTGCCGAATGTACTTTTTTTTGTAGTATATGTATTGCTATTCGTCGTTCTTTTTCTTCTTTCTTCCTTTCTCTTTCTCTCGCGCGCGCTCTCTTTTCCTGTACATACAATTAGAATAACTGTAGAAAAGAGCAACAACGAACGTACATACACACAATAACGGATCTCTTCCTTACTGCTGCCAATACTTCTATTCGTTCGTTTGCCTTCAGTAGCGTTCTTTTCTTCTTGTCTCAAACTTCCCTTTTAATGACGTGTGACATATGAAAATAAACACATGACAACTTACGATAATCAAACGACCATCAACTAAGGACGATATTTGTTTTCACGAAAGATTCTTTTTTTTTGTTAAAGCAACACAACAAAAAAAAATAGAAAAAAAAAACAGAACATATCTGTTCATATAACTGGCCATCACATACACATAATTATTTATTCTTAATGAACAAGATCTTATTCATTGATTAATTATGAGAAGAAGAAAAAATGATGGATATCATAAACATCCATCAAAAAAAGAAAACTTTATCTATGTACTAATCATACATAAAGACCTTGTCAGCAGTCACTTAAAATACGCCCAACCTATTACCTAGACATCTTACACTCCAGGCATTAATATGATACATATATATCGCTGAAAAGTAGACGATAGTATGCCAAAACAACAAGCTGACTTTATCGATCAACTATTTAACATCATCAGTATTGTTTGTTTTCCTCTTTTGATTCTATTTAATTATGATAAACTAATCGTACATTACACGTACAAGTAATGTGTCATGAAAAAGTAACATCTGTCCCATATAGGAACATTGTTTCATCGTGTTCGAAGCTTTTTTTTTTTCTTCTTTTGTTCTCAATAGAAACATATTTATGCTTTTTCTATTTCTTTTTTGTTATTTGATTAGATAAATAATAAAAACACGATACATATCAATAATTGGTTTCATTTTATATTTATGATTTTTATCTTTCAATTTAATGAAAACAAATCAACTTACCATGTACTTCTTTAACTTCATTATCAACTTGAACACGAAAAATTTGTCCAGGTTTAACAAGAATTCGAGCTACAGATGAACGTGTTGCTCCTAATGGTAAATCAGCTGATGTTGCTTCAGTAAATGATGCTTCAGCAGTAACCATATTTGTTGAATTCATAATTGTTGTATCTGTATCTGGTATAACATCGTTTATATTATTAGTTGTGATATCAGTTTCTTCAGATTCAGAAATCGGTACTTGTTCTTCGATTTTCTCTTCGGAATTATTAATCGATGACTCATAAATATCATCAGATGATATTGGCAATGATGGTGATGTTATTGGATTATTTTCTTGAGCTTCAACATAATTTGATTGTTGTGATGATTCGAATGTTGAAGCCATTGGAAATACTGACAAGAGACAACAATAGATTAAGAGAAAAATGAAGGACAACGTCGTCGACGACGATGATTATGAAAAACCATCCAAATCATCTGAAACATAGAGAGAAAGAAAAAAATTTTGTAATCATGATATAACAAAATAGATATATTTATTGTTCTAACTCGCAATGTCATCATCATCATCATCGTTTTTTTTTTCTTTTTTTTTTCTTCTTTTGTTGTTCCTCTCTGTATGATGAGAACACACCGAACTCGTGTATGTGACTCCTACGAGCGATAACATCAACTAATCAGAAGCGAAGAACATAGAACTGTCAATGATGACAATCAAGCACGAGCAGCTATTCAAATGTAAGAGAATTTTTTTTTTTTTGACAATGAGTGACGGTATGTTGTAGGTAGAACGTGACTATCACGATCTTTTCTTGTTAAATCCTCACTTTTTCTTCCTTTATACCTCCTCCTCCCTCCTTCATACGAGAGAATATCCTTCAAATTGCCATCTGTTCGGTCAAGAATAAGTGAAATAGTGATGGTGTCCTCAACGTTTCTTTCTCTCTCTCTTTCTATCTCTATGTCAATATTTTTATTGAGATTTTTCTCAAATGACGCTCTTTCTTTCTCTTTATTCTTGCTTTTATTCATCATTACTCTTTTTCTCGTCAAAAACACATTACAAAGATCACGAGGAAAAGAATATGAGAATACAGCACGATCAAAGGAAAAAAAAAGAAAAAAAAAAGAAGACAAGAGAATACGACAAAGAACAATTCCTACTAAACATAGCTACTGCTCGACTCATATTTCTTTGCTATATAAAGTTACTATTTATTATTCTTATCGTTTCAATGTGTTTCTAATATTTAACTTTATACAAATTATAAACAAACGGATGTTAAATTAGTGTGGTACTGTTTAAAAATAAGACATATGGTCTAATTTCAAACTTATTTGCAGTTCATATAAAAATAGTAACAATATGCTCCTTACCTTTGCAAATTTCGAACCCTTTTTCCTCCTCCTACGTATCACTATATTCATGTCTACTATCGTTTACTCCTACCGTTTACTAAGACGATAAACGCAACAAAGAAAAGAGAGAAACAAGTGCTACAAGCATACACCAACGACTAGCTGCTGTTACATTCTGTTTTTTTCCCTGTTCTCGCTGATTTTTGTTTTTTTTTTCTCGATTTTTTTTACAAATCATAATAACTACAAGGTGACTGTCTCTCATATCAATACATTCTAATATAACCAACATATGATTAGCTTATTTGGCCTGCTGATCAATAAAGAAAAAAATAAAGAAAAGAAAAATCGAAAAGTACATGTTAGTCGTTCTATAGTGCCCACATATTCAGATTAGATTAAACTTTTCAATTACATTCTTCTTCACTTAACTCGTCAATAATAATATAAAAGAAAAAGAAATTCATTTATATAATGCGTATGTTCAATGTGTCAAATTGTCTATCATGTCGATAGACTGACACTCAATGTGCACCGAAAAAATTTAGATGAGTATGAAAAGTGGTCTACTAAAAGAACGGAAGTATACTGCGTAGGTGTTGGCTCCCGTCGTTTGCGTTCTCACAAAAGACTGCTATATTCTTGAGCGAACGAGAGAGAGAGAGAGAGGACGCACATCTCTCCTATGTATGTTGCCGAACCGACAAGAAGAGTTGTTATTGGGGTCGTCGTCAGACTTGGTCGGAAAAGAGATGACGCGAAAAAAGAGAGAAAGAAAAGAATATATATATATACATGTAAAAAAAAAACTTGCATTCCGTTCTTTGTTCTGTTCTGTTCTACGAACTGGCTTGCAGCCGAAAGACCTCAACGTTACACAACGCGATGCAAAATGCAAGGACTTGATAATCATAATAGAAGATGGAATAAAAAAAATGGAGAGAAAAAGAGCTGCATATGAGAATGGATTGGTAGGCGGATGGTGAAAGAATGAAAATAGAAAAGAGACAACGATTTATATTTCTTCGAAATATAGGGTAATGATACTATTTAATACTCAAAAAATTTTGTCAATAAATAAAAATACAAATGTTTCTAATCACGATTTTCATACTTTAGCTTCTTTTTCTATAACTAAACCATTGTTATTTCCTTTGGGCATCATTTATATTACAATCAATGAAAATATGAGTCTCACCTAAGGGATACAACTAATATGTATTTTTGTCCTTCAATTCAATTCAGTGCATCTTTCGGACTTTTCAAATAGATAAATTTTATAATAGTACATATACGAGACAATGAATTATTGTCAATGTATGATTCATTTTTTTTTGTATACAAATACAACAGAATGGTTTGTTTTTAAATGTATATTAATAATAATAATAATAATAGTAAACCACATTAAATACTTCATTTCGAAGAGTATTATTTTAATCTAAGGTTTCTATGGTGAAATAAATATTGGAATAAATCACTTCTCTTATCTTTACTCAATGTATAATAAAAGAAAAAGTGAGCGAGAATGAAAATAATTTTCATTCTAGTTGATTGTTGAAAATGAATATAAAAATTTCAAGTAGTTCTTAATTGCTTTTTATGACTTATAAAAAAAAATAGTTCTCAAAAAAAAAAAAAAAAGGGACAGATAAAAGAAAATAGATCAATTACACTTTTAAAAAAAACTATTTGATAAGGTCGAGATATCGATAAGGTTTCTTTTACTTGTATAAATATATGATTATAGTTAATTATTCGTCTAAATGCTTATCGATTTACTAATAAATGAAATGGTTTTAATTTATTCAACGGCTTCTCTAATTTAATCTGACAACTGTAGGTTTTTCTTTTGACAATAAACATTTTGTAAACATCAAGTTTGATAAAAAAAAAAAAATATTATCATACTTCTTAACTTAACCTTTTAATCAACCTTGGTAGAATAAAAATGAAAAGTTTTTTTTTCAGATATAAATGAATTTATTTATTTATTCTTTTAACCTAATCATTGGTCATTTTAAATTTACCATTTCAAACTAAAAAAAGATGTCGCCAAATGTTATGCAGCAAATTTTGTTTCTATCTAATGAAATAAAGAAATTATCGAATAACAAAAATCATATTTCATATTCAAGTCTTTTTTTCATTGATAAACTAGAATGAAGCAATAAGAATGTTAATATTTTTTTGCTTAACAGTACACTTAACTGTAAAATATTTCTAAATGTTCAGTCTACTAATCTATTGGAAAATTATTTCATAGAATGCTACAGAAACTGGGCAAGTATTCATGTATTGAAATAGTCCTAAGCAGGATATCCAAGTAAGATCTAGTAACATACTGATAGATAGAATCCGTGAAAAAGTACTCTACTGACAACTAATCAGGCATACAAGTACCTTGAACTCAGAACATTCACTAGACTAGATTATCAATTATCAATGTAGTAAGAATACCAAATATTATAACGAGATACATAGAATATCTCAAAAGTCATTTGATCGAGCAAAAAGTATATATTGATAAAAAATATACTCTTAAAGTATTAATTTTAACATGAATATTAATCGACAGTCTTCCACTAATTATAAAGAAAATCAATATTTTATAAATAATTCACTTTATAACTTCAATGATAGAAATTTATTTGATTATTATGTCCAATTTATTTATGATAAAAAAAAACTAGGCATAATGTTTTTGTTCGAACTTCTTATAATTACAGATTTCACACTGAACAAAATTAATATTTTGAGACAATAGTTTTCCTCGTTTTTCTTTTTAATTTTGAATGCGAACTATGAGTAATGCTTTTATTAGTAGGAAAAAGAATAATACCTCAGTACAAAGTTAGCAAAAATACTAAAAGCTTTCTTACACAGATAAAATTGTCTAAGTATCAGCGTACTTCCTTCCTATACTTTCGGTACTTCATTTTTGTGTTGATTTCACATAAATGTATTGTAATCATTGGAATTTATTTATAGATATCAAGTTTTATAGGTTAAAATTCTATTCAATATGAATGAAGATTTAAAAAGGAGCAAGTTACTTCATGATCAAATGGAACAAACAAGAATGTAGATAAGAATGAAAAAACTCATTTAGATAAGAAATGTAGAAATACTGTAGATATAAATAAATGGATTGCAGCAATGACCTAGACTTATGAAAACCTTGAATTAGTTATCTGATCAAATTGTTAAAACGAATATAGTCCTTGAAATCGTTATCTATTAAATGTACGATGAAATTCTTCAATATAAATGTTATTTATATATGTGATCAAAGTTAAAGNGACAACCTTGAATTAGTTATCTGATCAAATTGTTAAAACGAATATAGTCCTTGAAATCGTTATCTATTAAATGTACGATGAAATTCTTCAATATAAATGTTATTTATATATGTGATCAAAGTTAAAGTATGAAAAAATAAATGATTTTCTACTTACTAGATAAATATTTATTTTTATTATTGACTGATGATTAATGAAATTTTCAGATTATAAGATTAAAAACAAAAAATATTCTTAAACAAAAAATAAAAACTACGAATAACATGGTACAATATAGAAAGCTGATTATTAAATATTTATAGACCAAAGTCAACACATAAGCTTAGTTTTAATCTTCAAATATAAAAGTCTATGGTCTAATAAAAAAAATATTGCGAGAATAACTTTGAAATTAGAATTACTGATTTTTTAGATTCGAAAATAGCTGTAAATTATTCTCATGAGCCATTAAGTGAAGGCCTTTTATGATACACAAAAAAGAAACTATTATGCCTTTAGAAGTATCATATGTTCCATTGTTCTGTGAATAACTCAAAAATGCAAGTAGCTAGAAACTTGTGATTTTTACTATCTGGAAGAGTGAAGCAAAAAACTTGAATCTATGTAACAACCAATCTATTAAACAAGGTATATATTTGTCATTTTATAATAAACTTGTTCAAATCTACTAAAATAAACTTTAAAATATCAAGATTTGTAATGTTCATTTTATAACAGAGTTTAG